GAGATTTGTATTGTATATACAATTTATGTAAATAAGCCTTTTCCATATTTACAAAAAAATTTTTATAAATGTTTGTTCGTCTTTTTAGCATAATAGAAATAGTGTGATCGTTTGCGGTTGCGAGCTCCGAAAGACTCTTATTAAAAACACGTCTGATTTTGTAGCGGTGAAACCTGATGGCGCTTAAATGACCAAAATGGTGTCGATAGTGCCGTAAAACATCTACCCAATCAAAAAAATCATCAGAGACCTGCACGCTCTCGGCATACGCGGTCACCTCTCTGCCTTCATTGGCAATTTCCTGAAGAACCGTTCCTTCCAGGTTTGTGTCGAATCCTCCCTTTCACACCCCCACCGACAGGAGGAAGGTTTTCCCCGAGGAAGCATCCTTTCTCCTCTCGTATATTTGTCCAGGAACAGACTCGTTTCCTCGGCATTATATTTGCCTAGGAACTCGCATTCATTCCACACATAAAAGACCTTTGGATGAGGTGCCAAAAATCGTGAAATGCTTTGAAAATTTTATCGCATCCAGAGTAGGGCGGGGACTCGAAACTCCTTCTCCACCTATACATTTCCCTTGTCCAATCCAGGCTTGACTACGGATGTCAGGACTATGGATCGGCAATACCCCACGTCCTGAAGATGCTAGACCCAGTACAAAACCAAGGACTCCGCCTTGCCCTGGGGGCTTTCCGCACTTCTCCAGTGGAGAGCCTCCAGTCTGAGGCAAACATACCATCACTTACACTCAGACGCAGACAACTCTCACTACAAACTACAATACGCAATTAAACAAAGTTCAACACCAGAGAACTCTGCACATGACTGTATTTTCAGAACAAACCCAGACATCATAAACAAATTCCAAATCAACGAAAAACTCATCAAACCATTCGGCCTCAGAGTCCTTGAGGACCTTAAAAACACACACTTTTCCAAACAAGACATCCAACAATTTCTTTTCTCCGAACTCCCTCCGTGGCACCTCTCCAAGGCAAAAATAGACTTACACTTATAGTACAGCTGACCACACACACCAAAGCAAGCACAAACTCCAAAACATATAAAGCAGAATACAAAAAACTTATAGAAAATACCCAGGTTCAGAGCTAATCTTCACAGATGGCTCTAAATCGAACTCTGCCGTGGGCGCCGCTGCCCTATCCTCAAACTGTACACACCAGAGGAGAAGCCTCCATTTTCTCTGCGGTCACTGCCATTGACATGGCACTGGACTCGGTAGAAAATGTTCCTAACAAATCTTTTCTTTTCCTATCTGACTCTCTGTCTTGCATCACCTCACTTACAAACTACACACTCTTACACCCCAAAATTGTTAGGTTACAACAAAAAATACACGTTTTGGCTGTAACTGGGAAAAGTATCGTATTCCCGTGGCTCCCTAGCCATGTGGGCATCCGAAGAAACAAGCAAGTAGACCTCCTGGTGAAAGAATCCTTGTCCCTTCTGTTGGGATCAGCGACGAACACTCTCCCACAGACTGACTTTAAAAATAAAGTAAAAAACTACACCTCCAGTCTGTGAGAGACTCATTGAAAAAAACAAGAAAACAACAAACGTGAAGCCCAAACTGGGTCTGCGAAAACCTTCTGCCCTCCCAGAAGAGACGAAGTCATTTTTACTTGATTAGGCATTGGACACACGTCCCTGACACACAAATACCCTCTTCAGGGAGAAGAGAAGCCGTTTTGTATCAGATGCGACACAGATTTTACCATTTGACACATTTTAACAGAATGTCTAGACTTTGGAAAGACCTGAAGGAAATATTTTAGATGCCAAATTTTTCAAGACCTGTTTTACGTCATTGATCCCAACAGAAACCTTGATTTTATAAAAGCCGTTGGCCTTATGGAAAATTGTGATTTTCATGATTTAAAATGTTACTTGTTATTTAAGAAGTTATTTTAAATTAAGAATTTATTTACTCCAAATTTTTAGTATTTTAGCATTTTAGTAGAGGTGTTGACCAGAATCAGGCTGTGCAGTGAACTGTTGCGAATAGAACCAACTTTTTTTTTCACGATACACCCCCTAGGGCGGTGCCACTGACTGAAGTGTCTTTAGGCCATTCCCAAAGGGGGGATATTTCTCGTTCATGCACAGTAGAATTGTAAATGGGCTGATTCATCAATATCACACTCATAACTGCCAGATCTACAACAGGAAACTGCTGCTTTTTCTTTCCTAATCCTTACTATTGTCATTTTCCCCTTCCTTCCTTCCTCTGGCTGGCCTCCGTTAGGAGGGTGGCAGTCTGCTGCAGGAAGACAGGTAAGCGGCAACCTCTTGTGGCCTCGTCCAGAGTACATCCGGGCCCGGTCTCGCGTTGTTCTCCATAAGTGGGCCTCGATGTGCTTCCCCCCGCGGGCACTCATACAGTGCGTGCTGCAGGTCGTCAGGACTTGTGCCACACGCCAGACAGGAATCAATGGGAGCGGAGCCTATTGCATGGAGATACGTCTGCGGGATAGGGCTCTTCGCGTTGCATCTTAGCTGCGATAACACTCTTCTCTGTCTGACGGTAAGGTTTCTCTCTTTGTCCCGCTCCGGTGGTGGCTTCACCTTTCCCCCGACGAAGTCGTGCACTCGCGCTTTCTCCCATGCGTGGGCAATGATGTAACGCGAGATGCACGAGCTTGCTGACGAGATATCGACTGGAGTGTTGGACTGGTCGAGGTGGCCTCCCTTGTTGGCCAGGGCGTCAGCTCGGTCGTTCTCGTAGATGTCGCTATGTCCTGGTATCCATTGTATGTGAAGGTGTCCGTGGATTTCACAACAGTGGCTGATAGTGGTCCACATTTTGTCTTTATCTCAGTACGAACTGAAGTCACTCCGGACATTAAGTGTTGAACAACTGACTGGAAGTCTGTGAAGATGTGGATTCTTTGAAAACGTGGTTGTTTTTCGAGCCATTGCAGTGCGCGGAGCAGGGTGGTAGTTTCAGCTCGGTAGCTGCTTCCGTATAGTCCTGGGGCACGGATACGCTTGTTTCCTCCCCAGAAGATTTGTCTAGACACCAGTATCCTCCTCCACATAACCTGTAGCCGTCGGTGGCATGGCCGTCAGTGAAGATATCGAGGTCGGACGTAGGCAATCGGCTCATTTTTCCCTCTACTTCTTTTGTATGTTTGTCACACTCTTGTGACCCACTATTTCCAGGGTGCCTTGATAGTAGAAGCAGACTTTGTGCTGTTGAAGCTAGAGAGGTGAGCAGAGTAAGTCTGATTCCCTGTAAGGACTTCTCTGTTGACATCCACCCCTTGGCGCTCATATGACCGTATGCTGTTGCTAGCGCCGTAAAACCTCTACTAAAACTAAAAACATGCTCATATGACCTAATGCTGTTGCGAGCACTGTAAAACTCTTACTAAAACAAAACTTTCCAAGTTAAATAAATATACAATTTTAGAACTCTCCATGCAAACACCCCCATTTTTTTTAGCAAGTGCTCATATGATAATATGTCCACGTCGTTTTTATGCTAAGAAAAATTCTGAACTTATGCAAACTGAGCCCAAAAATGTGAAATTATGTGATTCTGTTAATTTTAACAAAGATAATAAAGGAAAATAATCAGAAATTATGCAAAAAATGATCAAATTTTGCTAAATTATACATACTCAAATTAATAAAACCATAGGGACATGATAATACATGATGCTCATGGAAAATGATAAAATAAAGCTTTCATGAGCTCAGCAATAAACATGTATGTTGCAAATTAATCCAGGATGCATCACCAGAGAAAAAAAGGTAAGGTAGGGGTGGTTAGCTTATAGACCATATGTGGCCTAAATAAGTGCCCCCATTATTATTATGTTCCTGTTTGGAGAGGTTGCACCTCTTTCTGGTGTTTGTGTAACATTCATAAACATTGAATTAATTGCTTTTAAATGTTAATATTATAGCAGATAAGCTTCTGTAACCCATGGTATTGTGCAATTCTTTATGTTTCAGAACAAAACTAGGTGGAGGTATCAACTTTACTGATGCTGTTCTTCTAGGACGTCGATACACAGCTACTGAAGCCTTCAATAGTGGTATGCTGCATGCTATGCCTTCCCAGGGGCTGCTCATCCCTGAGTCGATTCGAGTCCTAAAAAGTTATTATGGAAAGAGTGGCTACCCACGAGAAAGCCTGGCAAACTTGAAAGCCGATATCTATAAAGATGTAGGGGAGTCTTTTGATGTAGAGATGCAACGCATGCTGGATATGAAATCTAAATTGTGAAAAGGTTGTCTTTGATGTATTAATTTACATTATAATATATTCATTTTATGGAAAAAAGTTAGCATGATGCTCTTGAAGTTAAGTAGATTTACTCAGAGATTCAGAATTTTTTGTGATATTGACATTTTTTATCTCCATTTTATGCCCCATCTTACCATTGTTATTTCTTAGTGCAAATGAATTTCATAAAAAATATTGAAACTTCAGCCTGAAATTTGGCACACAAGTGCAAACCTATATATGGACTATGGATCAATGTAAGGATTTTGACCTATCTTTAAAAAAAAAAAATGAGCCCAAAGTCAATGGACCCCCCCCCCCCCCCCCCCCCCCCCCCCCGGGTGTGGTGTAAAATTTATGTTAGAAAATATTGAATATTTCCACAAATTAACCATTTTTTCCTATTCCCTCCCGTAGATCCACAGAATAGATCTTAAAGCTCTTGTATGCCAAATTTGAAGCTTCTAGATTTCTAGCTTCAGTAGTTTTTGAAAACTTGCACCAAGGAGGTCACCTATAATGTGGAAAAGCAGAGTTTGAAAAAAACCCACAGAAAAAAGGATTTTTAAAAAGGATTTTTAGTTCAAAATGCACTTTCCAAACAACTTTTTGGGCCTTTTTGACCCGATAGAGCAGATGTTGAAGAATGCTTTCCCCCAAAAAACAAAAAATCAATATTTTGAAAAAAATTATTGATATCTCTCAGCTCTGGGATCTCCGACCTGGGTCTCCCCTTAAACTCATTTAAGCCTTGCAATATTTATAAAAGTACAGTCAAACCTTGTTATAGTTTTACCGCCACCTTTGGGACGAGTGTGATGTTGGCGGAACAGGGTTCTTCAGTTGTATAGCCCGGACTGCCCAACATCAAGGAATATGATTCTTCTACTTCTATGCTACCTGTGGTTAAAAAGTTTCTTTTTGTTGATGATATATTATACAGTGTATGATGTATTAGTTTTTTTCAATCAAAAGTAGTTTGGTTTTAAATGAGAAGCATTTTCGGTTGTTTGATTCAAACCGAAGAAATGCTGGAAAATTCCGGCAAAATACACTGAACTCTACCAAGCACGCACTTTGTAAAAGGGCCAATTCTTTCAAATGCACGCCTAACTCATCTGTCATTTGATATTAGAATGTACTGTTTGCAGAACAAGTTTTATGTTGCTCTGTAGAGCCTAACATACAGAAACATTTGATTCTAAAATCAAGCGCGCAATTCATTACATAGATCTATGTCAAGATTAGCTCGTTATTGTTACGTTGATCAGCAGCTTGGGGAAAAAACTGTGACGCGTTTGTATCTTTACCTAAGTTCCACGCCCCGACATCTTGTGTCCCCTCTCCCCATACACACACACTTTTTTTTGTGTTTATATAACGTAATGTCATTTAATTTGATGCTGTTCCCACCTTTGAAAAAATATAAATATGTTATGTTAGAGCGTGTCTCCACCAAAACCGAATACTCACACTGGCACACCCCAATTGCCCAATTGTGTGTGATTCCATAATTTACATGTAATATCCTGTAGGCCTACTTTTTTCTTGAAATACACACGTTCAGGGTTAAAACAGCCAATCTTTGGATAGGTGGACACGCGCCCTAATTTGTTAATTTTTGTGGTTATTTATCCGTGCTGTTCTAATTTTTTATTTCATTCTGTTGTGAAACCTTTTTTTTCACGTTTTTACACTCTGGGAGACTACAAATAATATTCTGGATGCTTAAAACGTACACACATGTTTTTGAACAAAATTCTGGTCCTTTAGATTGTTACCTCTATCAACATAATTGCTATACGTCGTCACAGAGGCTTGAAAGCTTGAACATTAATGGCTACTTGTTTGGCAACTTTTGCCAGTTTTTGCAGCAACTTTTGAAGAAGAAAAAAATGGCGACAAACGCAGATGCTAGGAAGGTGCACACAGCAAGAACGATAAATTTGAAAGCTTGAACATTAATGGCTACTTGTTTGGCAACTTTTGCCACTTTTTGCAGCAACTTTTGAAAAAAAAATGGCGACAAACGCAGATGCTAGGAAGGTGCACACAGCAAGAACGATAAATCTACACATCTTCACGAGGATGTGTAGTCGATTACTCAATTAATCATGACATCAGCTGACAACAAAGTCACTCAGTGCGTTGCACATCTGCAGTCAAGTCAAAGCTTCTACATGTGTACTTCTACACACAACACGGTACAGTATGGCCACCCCTTTCTAAAGACTGTTCTTCTATATCAAAATGTACAGGGAAATTGGGAGGGGGGGGGGCGCTCTCGTGGTTTAAAAATAGCCCAACAGTGTTCACCTTTCATTCATTAGGTCCAGAGCTCGAAACCTTCGCATAGGCAAATCGCTGTCGTCGCAAAGAGCTCGATCCAAAGAAAACTGGACGTGTAAACAGACAACACAGTTCGATAAAACGGACAGTTCTCTCATACAACGAATCTGATGCAATTTATCGTTGCGTTTAACCTGGGCTTTAGACCTGCCCCGAGAATGCAGACTGTTGAGGTGTAAGAAACAGGAAAGTCCTTGCTGCAGATCGTCTACGGCGGGATAGACGTCTCATGGACTCGACTACTGAAATCTGCACCTTTTTGTTTTAGTTTTAGTAAAGTGTTTTACGGCCCTCGCAACTGCATAAGGTCATATGAGCGCGCGGGACACACCTAATATTTTCAGTTAGTAGGAAATTTTGAATTTTGCCCTGGTGGCGGCCGAAGCCTACTCTTATCGATTTTATACCACCAAGGGATCTTTAACGTGCACAACTTGCACACAGGCCCTCCGAGATTTTTCGCCCTTGTCTGAGAAGGCTAGGTGTAGATCTTTCCTACCAGAAGATCAGGGGTTTGGCTGAAAGACAGCAGTAAGAAGAAGTGAAGGAGTAGCAGTAGAAAGGCTGCAGAAAGAATCAGGAGCCCAGAGGAAGGGGCAAAGAAGGTGAGGGGGAGGGGGCAGAAAGAGGAGACGAAAGCAGACGACAGAACATTGCTAGAGAGCAGGAAATGAGGTGAAAGGAGACAAATTTAGAGAAGAAAATTTTTCGGTCGCTACCCGGATTCGAACCCGAGACCTTTTGAATGAGAGGCCAACACCTTAACCTCTAGGCCACGAGAGCCCCCTGCACCTTTTTAATGGGCTGCGTGTGGTGATATGATGATAATGAAGTGGTCATTTTTAAGGAAATTTTTAGTTCTGATTCGCTATAGGTCCAAACTGACGGAACTATGATCAGGGATGTGGCTGAAAGACAGCAGTATAAGAACCCAGGAGTGACAGAAGGAAGAGTAGCAGAGGAAAGAATTGGGAGTAAGGGAGGGAGGAGCCAAGTCAGGTTTTGAAACCAAGGACCTTTTGAATGACAGGCGAACACCGTCGACCACGAGAGCCACCTTTGAATGACACATAAATGTTTGCAGCATTTATTTATAATCTGCTGTTTCCGAATTTTTGGGCAACGTGATGAATGTGTAGAAGTAATGACTTAGTAATGTCTCTTGGAATTTTCCCCTTAATTGAAGGTGTTGAGCAATTTTTGCACTCCCCATTCACCAAGTACTTCATTTGTTTCCAATGGGATTAGATAAGGTCCCATTGCTTTGCCTGCATCTCTTATAACTGGCTTTCTCTACTTCAACATCTTTTGTAATTTGTGGTATAAAGTTCCATACATTTTTCAATAAACTGATATATTGAATATTCTCAAAAGTATTATTTTTTCGGGGTTTTTCTTTGTTACAAGTCTTTATGAAGTTGGTTTTTTAAAAAGATATTTTGGTGGTGATAACAAATAGATTAGTAAGTACAAGAGCTTCAAGTCAAGCCATCAACCTCTAAAATAGGATGCTAATTATACAGAATATAAAACGGATTGTAAGGGGGAAAACCAGCCATGTCCTTTTTGCTCCCCTTAAACTTCTTGACATCGCCACAAACACACTTCAGCCTAACTAGGTCATCTTATACATGTAATCAATTAGTGGATATACTTTGTATCAAGAGGGAAACATAATTGTGGACACAACGATGACCAGAAGTCTTCGAAGTTAAATTTTCACTGTTCTCGAAACTTCCAAAATGTTGGTTTTCCACTTGCACTCTGCACCCTTGTGTGTTTGTGTGTGTGTATGTGCGTGTATGTGTGTGTTTGCGTTCGTGCGTGTGTGTGTGCGCGCTCGTGTGTGTATGTTGTGTATTCCTTCCTCCAATAGTATTGTCCCCAATTTATGCAATTTTTAAAAATGTGCTGCATCAATTTATCTATTTTTGCCGAGTTATATTATGTTATATTATTATAATTATAATGTGTGAATGTTTGGCGAATGGCCTTTCAAATCAATACATGTAAAATCATCTTGAACTCTTTAAAAATCTGTCTCTCTCTGTCTCTCTCTCTGTCTGTCTGTCTGTCTGTCTGTCTGTCTGTGTCTCTCTCTCTCTCTCTCTCTCTCTCTCTCTCT